AAAGAAAGAAAGAAAGAAAGAAAGAAAGAAAGAAAGAAAGAAAGAAAAAGAAAGAAAGAAAGAAAGAAGAAAGAAAGAAAGAAAGAAAGAAAGAAAGAAAGAAAGAAAGAAAGAAAGAAAGAAAGAAAGAAAGAGAAAGAAAGAAAGAAAGAAAGAAAGAAAGAAAAAGAAAGAAAAGAAAAAGAAAGAAAGAAAGAAAGAAAGAAAGAGAATTATTTATTGGCCAAGTGTGATTGGAGACACAAGGAATTTGTCTTGGTGCAAATGCTCTCAGTGTCCATAAAAGAAAAGATACATTCGTCAAGAGTCATCAGGTGCAACACTTAATAATAGTCATAGGGTACAAATAAGCAATCAAGTCATACTAGGAAACAGTCAATATAAATCGTAAGGAAACAAATGACAAAGTTACAATCATACAGTTCCAAGTGGGAAAGGATGAGTGATGAGAAGATTAATAGTGATAGTAGTGCAGACTTTGTAAATAGTTAGACAGGAGGGAATTATTTGCTTAGCAGAGTGATGGCGTTCGGGGAAAAACTGTCCTTGTGTCTAGTTCTGGTGTGCAGGGCTCTATAGTGTTGTTTTGAGGGAAGGAGTTGAAACAGTTTATGTCCAGGATGTGAGGGGTCTGTAGATACTTTCACAGCCCTCTTTTTGTCTCGTGCAGTATTCAGGTCCTCAATGGAAGGCAGGTTGGTAGTAATTGTTATTCCTGCAGTTCTAATTACTCTTTGAAGTCTGTGTCTGTCTTGTTGAGTTGCAGAACCAAAACAGATGGTTATAGAGGTGCAGGTGACAGACTCCATCATTCCTCTGTAGAACCATACCAGCATAAATATTGGGATAGGAACTGTTAAGGTAATTCCCCGTTAGGAGAATGAGCGCATACAGGGAGACGTATAGAGAGTAGTGTTGGAATAATACACACAGAGCACACAGATACACTGTACAGTAAATGTAAGTTTTTACTTCCAGAAAGGTTTAAGCAAAGTCCAAAATAAGCAATCCAAAGTCATTCACAAGTTAAATCAGTCAGTTTTCAATCCAGGGATAATCCAAATATCAAAGTCCAGTGTCAAAAAACAGTTCAGTAAGACTTACATTAAATCCAGTAATATCAGTCAATTAGAAGAAATGGAGCAAGGACAATACTTTCCAACAGAAGGAAACAGGGATGCACTTACACTCTGTTCTGAGACTCAGACTAAACAACCCAGGTTTCTGGCTCCATCTTATGGCCGTTTGAGAAACCACACCTAATTACAGTTTTGCATTTTCTTAAAGATACAGTTTTAAAATGTTTATCCTGGTTTATATATTTCTAACCCAAATAGCTGTTAGGTGACTCATATTCCTAACAGTAACGTATCTGGAAATCTTAGAACAGGAAGCTCATGTTTTGAAGGAATAGAAATGGACCTGGAAGGGAGATCAATTCAATTAGAATGAAGAAATGGAGGGCTTATGGCATGGGCTGGTTTTTCTATTAGAACATTACTCCTTTAACAGAAATAGTTTGCAGGCAGCGGGAGATTTTGGCATTCTAAGCAGATCCACAGCTTTTGGCATCACTTAGCTTTTCCCTGAATTTCTGAAAGTGAGAAAATGGAGAGGCACGTTTGCTTTAAAAAAAAAAAAGTATGAAAAAGAACAACTTCCTGTTTATTCCTCTGCTTCCCTCTTTAACAACTGGCACACTTGGGGTTACCATGACAACCGGAATTGCCTGGATTGCCATGGCTAAGGGATGCATGACGTTAACACTCTTTGAGCGCATTGCTTAGCGTCGGGAATCCCAGTCCCGATTGCTCTCCTAACTCAAGGACGAGCTGTAGGGGAGCAAAAAGAAAAGAAGAAAAGCTGCCCAAAGTTAAGTATATTGTTAGAAACTTAAGCAATAAAGCAGGCTACTCAAAAGTGGCATTTATTAATTGCTTACTTGTTTTTATGTTTTATTTTAAAAAGTAGAATAATTTGATGTCTAAGCATTCAAGATGACAGACTTGAACCAGACTAAACAGTCTGGTAAAATGTGTGTGTGTGTGTGTGTGTGTGAGAGAGAGAGAGACAGACAGACAGACAGACAGACAGACAGACACTGGATGCCAGTTTCCCTGAATTCCACCCAGCAGGATCAAAGGCCATTGATTTAATCCTCTGGATGGCCTGAGCATCTCCTCATGCCTGGCTGAGATTTTATTCTGACGCTTTAAGAGGGCGCTAACTTGCCTTCTCAACTCTTCAGGTTTCGGGGACCGACTGCTCAGCGAAGTGAAGAAACTCGCTCCAAAGGACATCAAGATCAAGGTAAATTGATGGGGGAAAAAATGTTACATTCCAGCCCAGGGGTGGGATACAACAGGGTTAACTACCAGTTCGGGATTTACGAGCTTCCCTGCATGCTGCGAGCCGCGCGCCTGTAAATCGTCATCAGCATGCTGTGTGCAGAGAAGCAGCCTTTCAAAAAGCCCCTTTTTCCTGCTTTTTTAACTGTAGCCGTGCCTCGTATGGCAGCTGAAGTTGAAAAAGCAGGAAATAAAGGTCAGGTAAGAGCCCGGGTGGGCAAAAACATCAGCAGCCATAGAAACGGTTCTATGTCTGCTGCTCTTCAGAGCTACCGGTTCTACAGAGGTGGACAGAACCGGTAGAAACCCACCCCTGTTCCAGCCCTAATTCCATTTTTTTAAACCTCTAAATCAGTGGTCCCCAACCTTTTTTGTACCAGGGACCAGTTTCAAGCACAAACACTTTTTCAAGGACCGGGGGGAGGGGGGGGAGAGAATCCGAGTTTGGTGGTTTGCTTGCAGACATTTCATTACCTGACTAGGTAACATCTGATGTTGTTACCTAGTCGGGTAATAAAACGTCTGCCAGCAAACCACCAAGTTCAGGGAGCGCCTCGGCCCTGCCTCCCTCAGCCCCATCCCTCAGGTGTCTCCCTCCCTCCCTCAGGTGTCTGCCTCATTCCTCTCTCAGTCGCTCTCTCGCTGCTCCACCAGCCCAGGAAGAAACTGCTTCAAAGAAGCCGGGGGGGGGTGGCTTTTCCTGTCGCCGCAGCGCCTCCGAAGTGCCCGTTTACCCCCACCCCGCCCGCCCGCCCGCGCTTCAATTCAGTGCTCCGTTCTGCCTGTCTGGTTGTTTGGGAGAAGCTTCGGCTGAGAATAATAACTATTCGCCTCTTTTTATCAGCCGAAGCTGCTCCGAAACGAAGGCAGGCAGGCAGGCAGGCAGAACGGAGGACTGTGGATTGAAGCGCGCGCGGGCGGGCGGGGTGGGGGTAAACGGGCGCTTCGGAGGAGCTGCGGCGACAGGAAAAGCCACCCCCCCCCCCCGCTTCTTTGAAGCAGTTTCTTCCTGGGCTGGTGGAGCAGCGAGAGAGCGACTGAGAGAGGAACGAGGCGGGAGGAAACCGAAGCCGCTGAGCCAGAGAGCAGGACAGGCTTCGGTTGCTTCCTCCCTCCTCTTCTTTCATTTGTGTCCTTGATCCCTGATCCCAGCAGCATTCACCGAAGGCGAAGAAAGCCGCCATTTTTATTTTATTTTTATTTTCTTTGCGGCCCGGTGCAAAGTGATCCACGGCCCGGTGGTTGGGGACCCCTGCTCTAAATAACTCCATGGGGTTATTGAGAATGAAATGGTTCCAAACGGAGGACTCCAAAATGGAACCTTAGATCTCCGAGCTTTCTGTGGTTGCACTGATAAGGGGAGGGGGGGCTCATTGCAACGAGGAGCGAGTTGTAGTTGCACTTGTAGGATCCAGTCTGGGTCTGTTCACCTGGACCAGGGGTGTAATCTTCCAAGTTTTCGGACTGTCGCTGAAGCCCATCCTCGGGGAACTTCTCTCTATTGTACTTTGGGCTATACTACGTATAGTATTTATGTGGTGCCTGGTGGGGTGTAGCTTCCTATCGGCTGATTCGTAGGTTGACGTGGCTGGCTTGTTTGGGAGGGCTGCTGTGTACAGGCTGCACTTATCTAGAATGGGGGTGAGAATGGAATGGAATAGAAATAGGAATGGAATAGAAATAGGAATGGAATGGAATGGAATGGAATGGAATGGAATGGAATGGAATGGAATGGAATGGAATAGAATAGAATAGAATAGAATAATAGAATAGAATAGAATAGAATAGAATAGAATAGAATAGAATA